CTTTAAATTTCATATGCATAACCGTAAGAACCTAAGCTACAAAATGACATTTTTTATTTATTTTTTTATTATGTAATGTTTTGCGGAATTTTCGAAAAACTGCGTTCGGATACTTTCTTCCAGGTACTGTACCTATACCGCTTTCTTATAACCCATGTGAACAAGATATTAAATTTGCTGCTGCACGAACATTTGGTGCCTTTAAAAAAGCAACACATCATTTAAAGTCCTATTGTTACATCATAGCATAAACCAAGTTGCTCACAATCCTATATATCCTTATAGGTTTTATTATGGAAATGATGATGCTAGAGTAGAGTTTCACTACAAATCTCAAATTGAAGGGAAACTAAATTTTTTGGCTACCACTACAACAAATAGGAATATATATATCAAATTTGTCAAAAGATATTCAAAGAAGGCGCATATTTTATGTGCAAATATGGGATACGTTCCTGAATTATATGCATGTGAGCTTCTTGCAGGAGGATGGATGATGATTGTTATGGATTGTGTGGGCAAGAATGTATATTTCAGGGTTGGCAAATGTGCAGTCCATTGATGGTCTATTGGTGGTCCATTGGCATTAATGTAACACTTTGACCATATTTAGTATTTTATTAATTGCAATGGACCAGTCCAAAATCCATCTGTTCTCAATGGACCAGTCAATTTGCCAACCCTGGTATATTGCAATTATTCATACAAAAATTCTAATTTTCCTCCGCTTAAAGAAATTAGGGGTAAAACACATGAAATTATTACTTATTTACACAAAAATAATTTAGTGCACGGAGATTTAAGAGAAAATAATTTATTAATCAGAATGAATGGAAAAAATGACACACCTGTATTATTAATAGATTTTGATTGTGCAGGTGAAGAAGGAAATGTAAAATATCCATTTGATATTAATATTACAACTATTCGAAGACCATCAGATGTTAAGGGAGGAGAGTTAATAACAAAGCAGCATGATACGGAAATGCTTAAAATAATTTGGGAGGATTTAAATTAAATGAATAAAAATAAAAAATAAAGAACCAAGAGAAAGCAAATAAAATTATCAATAATTTAATAAATCATCTTCACATTACTTGATTTCTTTATTACAACTTTCCCTTTCGCATTCCAACTGTTCGCCAAAGCAACCAACGAAATTTCAAATCGTACTTGTCAAATTCGTCACTTGGATCTTTCCAGCTTCTTGACAATTGTTTTACAAAAAGTAATGCAACATACAAAAATATCGTCACTCCTCCCCTAAACCAGATATTAATTTGGATATTATTAAATTGAAAATAGTACAAACTGTTCGATTTTCATACAATTTATGCATGCAAAAAACATGCCAAACGGGTTAATTTTGAGAACAAATATCACATACAACTAATATTGATCATATATTGGATAAATTTCGAACAATGTCATACATTTTATTTTGCAACTAAATATATTTGACAATGTACTGTTTTATCAAATAAATGTCCGATTTAATATATAAATTATGAAGCAACCAATAATAATAATAATATTATTATTAATATTACTAAATTTTGATCCCTGAAATTCTTGGTAATGCCAATTACAATGTTCACTTTGTCTGGTTTTGTTGCAGTATGCCCATGATATAAAACGGGTAAATTTAATTATTATATAAAATTGATTGGCCTCAATTACTAAAACGTGATTTAACGTGTGAAGATCCTCACCGAAATTTTTGCTTATCTTTGAGGCTGATGATCAAAGTATTACTTCACAGCAATTGAAATGATTTTGCCATTTATAAATCTTGAACAAATTTCATCAATAAATGATGACTCTACAATCAAATCTATAGGTTTAACTGGAGATGTAATTATATGTATACCAAGTGTTAATGACATAAATCTACTTTCAGATTTTCTTAAAACCTATCAATTGGGCTCTTATTGGGTGTATCCAATAAAAGATATAAACTCCAATGACATGGAAAATGTTATAAAAATTCTTGATCAAGGTTGTGCAAAAATTGTCATTCCTGGTTCTTTGATTTTATCATCACCAACTTCTTTACCAGAAAAAATTTTTGATATTCCATCAGAAAGGTTGGCAATAAATTTAAATCTCTATGATTTATCGGGACAAAATAGTAAAGTCGACCAATTGGTTAACAAGTTATATTCATTGGTTTCTGGATATATTATCACTATTTTGGAACAAGATTTATCTGAAAAATTAAAAAATTCTTATCCTGAAAATCTTTTTAAAACATTGGAAAATTTTATTGATTTAAATCAAAAAAATATATTATCATCAGGAGGACTTGCAAAAATTGGTGTCAATCTCTTGAAAAAAGATTTTAATTATTCGTTAGATTTGATAAAAAAATTTTCAGATAAAAATTTAGCTCCAGTAGTTCCAATTGAAAAGCTTACTTTGGAGTCGGATCATGACAATTCTACTATTAATTTAGCTGATTCATTTAGTTGTACTCTAAAATCAGATCGTCCTGACAATTTGTTTACTACAGTTGTGGTAAATGAAAGTGATGAAGCATTAGGTGTTGTTTATTCTTCAACTGAAAGCATAAGAGAAGCAATCAAAACCAGAACAGGTGTTTATCAAAGTCGAAAACGTGGATTATGGTACAAAGGTTCAACATCGGGTGCAATCCAAGAATTAAGAAAAATTCTGATTGATTGTGATAATGACTCATTAAAATTTGTTGTTAAACAATTTGGAAGTGGTACGTTGTTGACATTAAAAAAATTCCATCTTTATTTTTTTTTTTGCTTCTATTTTTTTTTTGAAATAATTTTGTTTTGAAATTGCAAGGATTTTGTCATTTAAATACACAAACTTGTTTTGGTTCAAGCAATGG